AGTTTATGCAGCTCTTAGCTCCCTGGCATGCACATAACTTAAATTCAGAGCAAATAGCAGAACTAGATGTTGTAGTATTATCTTGTAGTATGCTTTGATTTTCATCATAATGTTTATGGAAGTCTCGTTTAAAAACCTTGTTAAGTAGTTGTCCTATCAAGTATACTATGAGGCTGTGAGGTTGTTGACTGTAAACAAGTTAAGTAATCATTGGGTTAAATATATGCCGTGTTCTTGAGGTTAATATGTGCCCTGCAGGAAGCAAGTGAACTCAGAAAGAAGCCTAGGGAGCCACTGGAGCCCTTCACCAATTTGTGCCTTGCTCTCCCTGAATTCACACTGTTAGGATAGTACATAAACACATGCATGAAGTTTTGATCTTTGCATTGCATGTATTAGACAATATTTAATAAAGTACATTCCTGGCATTTTGCCTGTATGATGATGATGAAACAAATTATATAGTATCATGTGCGACCTGGCATTGATATTTTTTTTTAAAAAAATCAGTTCATTATCACAGACGCGTTTAGACAATCCGTGTATGTGATAACCCCTCATCACATGCGCTAATTTCCTTTGTTTGTTGGCTTAGGTTCCTTCATGATTGTTTGCCATGTCTTCCAAAAAATCATGATACCGCAGATTCAATTTTTATAATAGTACTTCCATTCTTGTATTGTGCTAAATTCAAATTTTGAATTTATGGAAGAGGATGCTACCAACATGGCGCCTTTGAGAGGATGGAGGCTGGCGGTGGACGGCGTGGTGCTGGACTTGGAGAAAAGAAAACAGATTCTACAATTGAATACCTCAACCTATTTGCTGGTTTCTTCTGTGTTTAGCACTGTTTACTTTTGGAAAAATACTACAGAACATTGCAGTAACATGCATTCCATGAAATCTGAAGCCGACAACCAGTTTGTCCCCCCATCTTGGCCATATGAGTCGTGACCAGTGATTGTTCATGAAATTGGTCAGATCAATGGCCTGCTAGCTTTTATGATATTTGAAGGGACTTCAATGCTTTTTTGGGGGGACTTAAATATAATAGCGCTCTCTATCTCTCTCTCTCTCTCTCTCTCTCTCTTCTCTTTACATGTACCTTAATATATCTCATTCTATGCTTGAATACCAAGATGTGTATTACATTTTGTTTGTTTGATTTGCATTACGAAACATCTCATAGTGTTAGCATGGGCAATGTAGATGCGGTAGAACTTATTCGTGGATTTATTGGCGCATGAAGGAAATGGACATCAAAGATTTTTTTTTCTGCCAATATAAAACATTATCTTAGCCGCATCACGCCAGGTATATACAGTAGAGTTTGTGCGCCTGCGACGTCCCGCTCTCTGCGACTGTGTTAATATCACGAACTTTGCTTTTTGATTAAATGTCATTTTAACGTCGGTACTTAATTTCGTAGTATTGTTATCTTATTGTGCGATCCCTGTATTTTTAGTATAAAAGTTTAGCTGTTCCATAGCAATGCACGGGCACGAACCTATGAAACCACAAGGAGAAAAACAGGCTGCAAAAATAGAAACACATTATAGGAAACGAACAGTTTGACTACTGAACATGTATAGAGGGGTGAGATCGGATTTATATATAGAGAGTATGAACATTAAGCTTACAGTCAAAATGCATGCGAACACGTACAATGACTGGATGTAACATAGTAACACTTATCTGAATTATATTGATCAACGCATATAGGGATATATGATGCTGCAATAATATAATGCATTGCAGTGTGCTGATATATCTTGGGGATGCATATATTATCTACTTGGTGGTGGGCGTTGACGATGGGTCTGTGGGCACGTTGTCCATGGCCTGCATGTAGTCGCGGCGCTTGGAGAGCCAGAACCTGCGCACGCCGTGCTGCGAGTAGCGCCGCCCTTCGTCGTGGTTGTCCAGCACCCCAGCCGCCCGGTTCTCCTTGGTCACCCGCACCTCCGGGTTGGTGGTGATGTTGCGCACCAGCTGCATCACGCAGATCCCCACCGCCACCCCTGTCGTCGCGAACAGCGGGTACACCTGCATGGATATGTGTGTTAGGGATTTTTTATTAAAAATAATAATAATTTTTCTTTTCTTTTAATGAATCTAGAAATGCATATAGATAGATAGATAGATAGATAGATAGATAGATATAGAGATATAATATATTATATAGATAGATATACATATAGATATATAGATAGATGAAAAGAGAACCGTTGTGAGAGTTTCCAACGCGGCAGATTGCACAAAACATAAATGAATCTTACTCCTAATTAGTTTAATCAATCACAAAAAAAAGGATGAACCATAATCTTTGGTAATCATTTACAGACACATAAAATAATCATATTGGATACGGAAGACCATACATACTAGGGGTTAATTTATTTGAACCTGATTCTGTAATCAATTCATACCTCCGGCCTAACCCAGCGAGAAGAAGACATTGTTTTTTCCTCGTTTCTGCGAGAGGACCGATCGAGATCTGGGCCTGCTTGGAGATGCAACGACGAGAGATGACGCAGTGGACGCCACACGATAATAGCCTGGGGTGGAAACGTCTGGTCTTACTGGAAACCAGCCAGGAATAGAGTTACTACCATTGCGTTGCATGCCTGCCACCCACCTATTCACTATTCAGCAGGCAATGGCATCGGCAGTTTCCGCAGGACCCGGTCTTTCCGCCTTGACCTCCACCCTACTGTACAAATGTCAAACACGACAAAGAATCAACTCTCAGCGCCAGGCCGTGTATGCCATGAATAATTCAGATAATTCTTAAGGATTTTTTAATAAAACAAAGAGTACTACTGTGGTTAGGGAGTATATCTTTTTAAGCCCCTTTGGAGTGTGGGAGTTTTTTTTCCCTATTTCCTACATCTCTCATATGAAAATGAACTTATTTCTATAAAACTCCTCTAAGTTTCCTGCATTCCAAAGTGACCCTTATTAGTGGAAGGTGGTTTTTCGTTCAACCATGCTACATGAATAAGTAGTCTTCTATGTCAAAGTTAACGGGCCAGAATTCAACATGTCAGGTTCTCAAAATGGGTTGATGGGCTAAGGGAGCATTTGGCATGGCTCATCCGCGCTCGCTCCGCTGACGTAGCCGGAACCCTCCGCACAAATGAAGCCACGTACTTTTGGCAGATCCCTGTCCGTACACGAAAACGGCTCCAGCTCCGTACATATATTATCAAAATTTGGAAGTAACTGCCACTTCGGATACAAATATCTTCCCAAATGTGTCAAAAACTTAGCTGCCACTAGATCCCTGCCTCACCATGTTTCATTATTCCTTTCCCAACACATGTTCATTTTACATAACATTATGCCGACAACTTTTGGAGAGCCACATTGCTTCCATACAAGCGAACTACATGAGAATCTTATAGCTCACACAGGTGCAATAGATGAACAAACTGCAATCCTTTTTGTGTGAAACGAATGGTTTTTAAGTCTAATGAAACTACCTGACCTCTTGTGTAGCTTAATTAGGCACTTGTGGGCTGAGTTGTATTAACTCTCTCTTCACTCTTTGATCCAAAGTTGTATGACTTTTGCTAGCTTGTATTGTTGGTTGGTACCAAAAACATGAATGCTCCATATTTGTATCAGCATATTAATCCATTTTACAACACTGTGTTACTTAACAAGTGTGAGTATTGTTGATGTGCATTCCCAACATATAAACAATATCTCCTTACCATTCAAAATGTAGGTCGTTTTAGTTTTATCGTAAGTCAAACTTCTTTAACTTTGCTCAAGTTCATATAAAAATACACCAACATCTATAATGTCAAATTAGTTTTACTAAATCTACCATAACATAGGTCTTGATACTGCAGTCACTTGATATCGTAAATGTTAATATAATTTTCTATAAACTTAAGCAAAGTTAGTGAAGTTTGATTTCGGATAAACCAAAATGACCAATATTTTATAACAGAAGGTCATTAGGATGAAAAAGTGGTGCTTTATAAATCGTATAAATATAAAGCAACCACTTTGTTGAATATATCCCTAAAATTGTGTTTGCTAGTATTTCCTCCGTGCCAAAAATATAGAGCATATTTAATTAGGATTTGATGAAGTCTTTGAATATATACTTCGACTACCAATTTCTCTTATAATACATTACCAATTTCTACAAAACAAATATATTAGTTAAAGTATGTGAAATGCAAATTCAGTGATGCATCTTTTGTACCAAAGATGCACATAGTTCAATTAATTGTTTTGCTCAAAAGGTACCAAGTTTGACTATCCTAATACACTCGATATTTTGAGATGGAGGAAGTAGATATATACTTGTACTTCAAAAACATATTTACTCAATCTTTTACTTCAAATTTTGGAATCCATCTATAGAAAATATTTTTTAAAATGCATATAATTCTACATTATGAGTTAGCTCAAATGATTAGTACTAAACCTTATGTGTACCGTTCAAATCCTTTTCTTCAGAACCAGTCTTGCTGAACCCATTTCCTTCTTCTAGACTAGAGGAACATTAAAGTTTACCAACTTTGTCTTTTTGTGAACATTTGCAATTCTACCATGTATAATTTCCTTATTTATTCAAAGGGCATTTCAGTAGACTTGGATTTGCAGCATTTATTTTTACAACCTGTAGACGCCACAGAGAAAAACGATGTATTTTTCTGAAGTTCCAACTTATCAAAGGTGGTTAAATGCAAATTTTCATCAGTTATTTGGCAGGTATGTGCTCAAAATGTGACTACCTTTAATGAGTACAGCTTTTGCTTCGCATGCTTATTTTGTCACCTCTGCCTATCCTCCAGTCTATGCATTGTGGGCCATCTAGCTAACGTGGACAGGGATTGGAAACAACCCATTGTGAACATTTATGCATATACTTAACTGATAAGCCTAGTCGAGACTCCATTTTCTTCTTCACTCAACCCAGCCCCCCCTTCGTTTCAAAACTCGAAATTCCTCTTTCCTCACTTTCTTCACTGGCTTTCATGGCTTCCAAGGCGCTGCCCGATCTACTCAATGCTACTAGTTCTATCCATATGATTGTGCGCCAGTTGTTCTCCCGGATGGTCTTTTCCCTTCAGATGGAGTGTTCCCTTTCCATGGAGATCATTTCCTTTTGGTTGTGGCTTGAAGGGAATGGTCATCCTGATTTCCTTGCAAGCATAGAGTCGTTTGACAACTATCATCTCCGGGGAATTGCCTTTGCTGGAAAAATGTTTATTGAAGCTCTACGTCGTAAGTGTCACTTAAATCATAGATCTGAGCAAGAAGGCTATTTCCAGATAGAAGCTATGGAAGGTATCGTTTTCTACCTCAACAATTTCTGCTACAAGGCTTTAGAAGATATTCTAGAAATAGCAGAGGAAAAGGAACGTATCTACCGTACCAATCATCAACAAGTTCAGCAACAGAACATGAAGGGTAAAGCTCCCATGATGAGCACGGTAAGAGTGTACTTAGAGCTGTAAATCTGAGAGGTGTTGAAAGATGTTTTTTAATTTTTTTTCCTTTCCCTAAACATTCCTTCAGAAGGATCTTTTGTCTAAGATCAGGGCTTCCTTTACTGGTACTCCGATTCATGAAGAAGGCTCATCAAGTTCTAGAAGCATGCCATCCCCAAAAAAACAGATCCTCAGAGATATAGAAAATCCAATCGATCAGTGTCTATCAACATACCCTTTGGCGACCCTTTTTGATAGCCTGAACTTAAGGGATGATCCAGAAGCTGTTCCAGTAAGAGTTTTGCTAAGTTTCACTGTCCTGGTCGTCTGCACATTATTTATTCAATTATGTTGCTCATTACAAGACCTAATACCTTGCTTTCACATATTTTGCTACAGATCCAGGTGCAGCAACACCCCGCTATACCATGTGATGAGAGAACTCTCTTTGTGACTTTCTCCAATGGTTACCCATTTACTGAAGATGAACTATACGAATTCTTTGAGGGGTAAAGTCTATTCTTGTCAGGCAATTACTTACAGATATGTAAATAATGGTGGATTTTAGGCTGCTGACTTAAAAAATGTTGCAGTTGATAACGAAATATTTGCTGAGAAGTTGGATTGATTAATAGAATTTGAATTTTAAAACTGATTCATTCAGGTGTCATAAACATTGTTACATAACGCGTAGGTAAAGCCGCAGGCGCCAATGCATGTTGTACCACAGGTCCACAGGGATACTTTTAGCCCCTTCTTTCCAGAAATATTATTAACCAACTTGTTAGGTGTACAACAATGCATAGATCGACGGCATAGGTATTTATGCTATAGAATGTTATAAGGTGAAGCACATATTCATCATATATCACAAGTTATGTAGTTTACTAGGGATTGATTGGCGGATCACTGACTGGACAAAAAGGATGCAGCTGTTTAGTTTGTGTACCTGATCACAGGATTTATACAGTTAATATAATTCTGTGTCGAGTCATGGCAGAAGGACAAAGTTATAACTTTGAGGTCTTATTTGACATTCTATAATAATATAATCAGTGGACAAGTTTTATCAGTAATCGGTACTTTTCTACTTTCTTCGTAGCATGCATTTAAAAGATGGAACTGCCAGAACAACCATTTATATGAGAAATCTCATTGTTCCTCAAGTATGAAACTTGTAGGTGATAAACATGTGCTACGTTTTACCAGTGATAGCTTTTCAAACGATACAAGATGTGATGCAGATGAGCTCTGCATCTAGTTTACACACAGCATCAGACTGACAGCCCTAATTTTTTTTAACTGCACTCTCACCTAAAATTTTTGTTATGTGCTAAATGCATCAATTTCTATGCACAGTTTATGATTGTACAATGCAATGCTGAACTTAAGATATATAATGTAAACAGCTAATCATTTCCTCGGCCACTAAAAGTAAAGGAACTTTTTAGTTTTTGAGATACATGGCTGTTGGATCCTTAATTTTGATTATTGTATTTCTTTAATTTCACAGGAACTTTGGAGGTGTTGAAGTCATAAGCGTGGAGGAGCCAGTTGAACCTAGGCCACCACTCTATGCACACATCTGTTTTTTCACACAGGAGACAATCCTCCACATCCTTCGTGGGAACCCAAGGGTCAAGTTCGTGATACGAGGGAAGCATCTATGGGCTCGGCAGTTTGTTCCAAAGCGGAAGAAAGTCCGGAACTAAGCTGCTAGTGTCACATGCCTGGATGTTGGTGCCTTATATCTCATGCAAGTCGAAAAACTTGGAATAAAGCCACCATCCAGCTTCTTATTAGACTGTCCTGGCTCCTGGGCCTACTTTCTCCTTATAATAACCCTTATGGAACCTTACCTAGCATGGTTAATAATGTTATCCGCTGTTGTATGACGATGTGAGATCAACAGTGTTGTCTTATGTAATGTTATCTGGGAGCATGGTTAATAATGTTGTGTGATGTGAGAACACACAGTGCTATTGATATGTTGGAGGTTTCCCTTCAGTAAATTCTGAAAATGCCTCGTTCCTAATTTCCTATTCATTGAACTTTTTTTCCTCAAGTACCTGGGGATGTTTAACTTCAAGTATTTTGAATTCATTTCTAGGTTGGTTGACCTATGACATTAGCGATTTGTGCTCCATTGCTTTTGCCACTCTCCTGTGATCTTTGGTTTCAGTTCAGCATTAACATGTGGGTGGTTGAACTGTGGAATAGGAATTGTATGAGGTTATTCAGTTTTCACCCATCTGGTGACTAATCACTGGCCTACATTCATATTTCTGTGGACGGCATAAATATTTTCAACTGATTAATGATTTTCAAGGTTGATATATGGCTATACTTGCCCAGATCTAAACTAATGTTTTAGCTTTATTGGCTCATTATGTGCCAATGTTTTTTTTTGTTTCTACTAGTAGGAGCTTTTATGCTGTCCTGTTGTGCCGTGTAAGGATGAACTAATTGAGCATGATGTTGTTGTATATAGGGTGACGAGTTGTTTAGGTCATCTCAAGTGGTTGTTTTGAACTTTTGTAGTATTTCTCCTACAATTTTTTTATAGTCATCAAGTTAGATATAGTAATTCTCATGTCACAAAAAGTATTGTTTTAGACACTAGCACTGCCTTCAAATTAAAGCATATTATAACCACTAATTATTTATTGTAATAAATATGTACATATACAAACATACTCAACTTTTTGATAAAGCTGTGCATCAACTCATGTTATTTTCAAATGTTCAACTGCATTAAAAAGCTTGTGAATCAACTCTTATTCTATGAAAATGTTGTGGGGATCCTCCCATAGTTTAGGGCAAAAAATATGAATATATCAAAAATTAACTTATTTGACTCCAACAAATTTAGATTGATATTTTTTTTTTTTGGGGGGTGAGGGAGGGAGGGGGACTGTACAAAGTGTTTGAAAATTCTTTCAACTATTCTCCAAGGCTTGGTAAGTTAGATTTGTGCAAAGTCAACACTAGCAGATCATTTAAGTCTAATTGTTCATAAATTTAAGCCCTTTTATATAATAAATATAATGCAATTGCAGAGGGGGTGTATTTGTCATCATTTCTATGAAAAACAAACCATATAAGTATTAGTCTATAATGGCTATTTTAGGCTAAGACCATTACAACTCTGTAGTCTCTTGGTTGTCTCTCGACCTATACCTAAGCACACAGAGAAGTTTTAACTAAGATATATAAACTTCACAATATGTGTTCTATATTATTAGGTTTGTCAGTAGTTATCTTTATATAACCCACATATCTTTAAGACATGATGTCTAAGTCAAGAGACAAACGCCTCATGCACCTAGGATTTTGCTGATGTACTGTCAAAATAGACGACAAAGATGATTATTGTGCATGCCCTACTCGCTTTTACAACTAAGTTATTGTGCTAGTAGACTTGACTCTATTATGAAACTACATGAGTCTAAATTCATTATGTATCCCACCTGTGCTCTTTCATCTATTTATTAAAAAAAATCAAATTTCCATATATTAAAGGGATGGGGATGAGAAAAAGGTGGATTGGTGGGTGGGTATCCAAGGGGTGCCGAAGGAGTGACTTGTCATGTGGGTATCTGGCTCTACCACAAAGACTAAATCACTAGACTAAACCAAAATTATTGGATGCCAAAACAGTTCCAGCGAAACCAAATTAATGAATTTCATTGGAGGAAAACAAAGCCTCAGAATATGAGTGAGATCTCTCTTACATTTGACATAGGAAAAGGATAACATGGTAGAAGTAGAGTACCAATATCTTAAGATTAAATTAAATGACATGATTTTTCTCTTATATATAGTACTTCCCTGCCTATCCCTTTGTTCATCCCTAGGAAGACTTGATATGATTATTCATTGTGCTGAGAATAAATCTTACTTTATCTTATTGACTCTTGATTTCATGGTTTAATAGTCTAAGACCATACACGGTCTTCATCAAACTGAAGCATGAAACAAGAATAAAGCCATCTGCACTAAACTAATATGTTGAGGAAAGCAAAGGAAATAGAATTTTTCAATACCTCACAAAATTTTGCTCGAATGAAGAAGGGGATGAGTCCACCTCACAGAAGGAAGCTACCATCTCTTCAAATTGATGCCATGTTGTTGTGGATCGAGGTCGTTGCTCCCGTTGCGTATCTTTCCCACCATTGCCTCCCTATCACTACTAACATCTTCGAAGATCGATCCTTATAGCTTGAGATGGAAAGTGATTCGTCGAGTGAGACGATTTGGTACCATCGATGGGGATTGGAAAAGAAGGTCTTGGATTTGAGATCGAGATCAAGGCAGCGGTAGGGGTGGGGGAGTGGGGCAGGGGCGCAGGGGAGTGGGGAAAGGGGAGCAAGCAATTGAGTGAGACAGAACATTGCTTCCTTTTTCTAGTTTCTAAGTTGTAGTTGGGGTGATGTATTAAAGTAAAGAAAAGTAGGTAGCAAAATGCAAATAACCACAAATGTCCCCATTTTTCCTCAATTTGAAACCAAAAAGTAGGTAAAGACAATTATTAGTGTACACGGAGTAGGCTGAGGGTGGTGGCCACATACAGGTAAGCAAGGAGACACATGATGCATACTAAGTATGTTGGCAGCTAGCGTTGTGGTAACCAAAGTGGCTAGAGGAAGCATTAGGGATTAAAGAAAGTAATATGAAGTGGGAGGACCAAATAGCAAGCTTAGGATTCAACATTTCTTGATGGACCTTGATGCAAATGTCATGCCGAATAAATCATGAGACGGTAAAATTTATTTTTGGTATGTACCTTTAGACAATATTGTTATGTTTGTATTAGGCATGTATATTGACGAGGAGCAAAAGTAGACGTTCTATCCTCCTAGATAAGATCTTGAACTAGTTACCGTGTAATTTACTAATTTTATAGGTTTATAACTACTTGGTTGCATCTAGTTTTTTTTCTTTCAAGTACATATGAATATTCATGCTTACAGACTGATGAGACTCGAACCCATAGTTTCTGCCTTGATAGTGCGGTGCTCTGACAAATTGAACTACAATCCCTGTAGGGACTCAAACCCGTAGCTTCCGCCTTGATAGGCCTATTCTTAAATTAAATTGTAAGAAGATTTGATACATCTATCCTACTACAAGAAATAGAGGTTGACTCTGCCTTCTTCCATATATTCTTTTTTATCTACACTTTTTTATTATCCAAGGCAAGGATATAACTTGCACACAAACAAGCTCAAGCAAGAAGTAATACAAGAAAGAAAGGGATGCAAAGAGACAAACCAGATTTTTTTCCCATGATCCGGGTTGTTTCCATAAACTCCTATTCCACATTGGAGCATCAAAGAGTCATCCAGATTCGGTTAATCTCCACTTCACTCTTGAATACCCATTTGCACTCTGAAGTGGTCAGTTTCAAACCATGTACACCAACTGAAGCCTCCTTAGTAAGAACTACGCTGAAAGAAGGCCACCAAGTCCTGCACCTGGCCATCTAGTGATGGCAATTACCAAGAGTAACAAGTCTACAGCTCCAACTCAATAAAATCTAACCAAGAACACCGGTAGCACTCAATGCTAACACTTAAAATATCACTTCTTGGCTTGGATGGCTCTTCGATGGCTTCACAAACCTCTTTGTAAGTGATGGCAACAATGGTGTAGAAGAGTATCTCCAAATGAGCCAGATGTCATTGAACTTATACAAAGGGTGAAGGGGTTGCTAGTCATTCAAAAAAGCTAATAGATGCAAACATCACCATTGCTGATGTTGGATTATACAGAGGTATTGACCTAGCTGTTTCCCACAATGGCTACTAGATGGGAATATACTAGAATATTCCCCACCATATGGTCCACCTATGTGTTACACATTCACATTGGAACACACGGTGTAGCACAGAGACATGACTAAGCTTGTGCAAAGTCAAGCTAGGCCAGCTGAATGATCTATCGAGGAGTCACCAAAGTCTCCATCGGATCATATGGCACACAACAGTAACCTGGCCAGCATGTCACTAAGTCAAGTTGGACTGATTGGATGATCCATTTGGTGCCATAGAGGCACATCGAACCGTACGACACACATCAGTGGAATGGCTACTTGACCGCATCCTCCAAGAAGTAGGCCTCACCGGATGATCTATCGGGTGCAACACATGCATACAGGATCATACCTTGACCACTCTATTATTAGGGTAAAGTCATTTCTGCCTAGGGCATAGTCTCACTAGATGATCCACCAGGGGATCAACCCGATCGTCCATTGTATACTTTGGTGCATTTCGCCTGTTTCAAGTCCAATCTTGACCATTCAACTTCTTTGAGATCCTTGACTTAAAACCACTTCAATGGTGCTACCTACCACCATGATCTTGATTCTTGACTGAGAGTTAGCCTTTTGTGCATCCAAAAGCTCTTGCTCATAGTCACTCAAGATGAATGGCTAGGACCCTCCCCCTTAATAGTACGTCCAAAGGAAAAAAACAAAGCCCTAATACACACTACAATGAATACCTCAGAGCACCAAGCTTACATTTTCTCTACTATGTCCTTAGTCTTCACGAATATCCTTTGTGCCATACTCCAATCAACAATCTAAGTCCTTCGGGCCAAGAAACTTGTGAATAAATCGCATGTCAGTAAACGCTACAAAACACGCGTTAGTCACAACACTTGTGTTCATCAATCACCTAGAAGGGTCAAGATGCCTAAGGGGGAG